CAAACTAGGCTTCTGTTCATACGCCCTCCACATCAGCTGTCACCCACAAAAACACCTTCTCCTCTTCTCCAGGTTGGAGCAGCACTGGATGCACAATACTCCCAGCATTGTAAGAAGCTACAGCATTATGCTATCCACCAGAGGTCACTGGAGCATTGGTTTATTACCTTCACTTGCACTTCTAACTGCAGTTTCCCTTTTTCAAAGGGATTAAGACACTGCTTTAAAGACCTCAGTGCAATTTTTAGCTACTAATTGATCTACCTTTGTATCTTTGCAAACATAGAAAAAACACACCATAGGTAAGCCATGTCCCACCTGTATTTGCTTGTCTGTCAATGCTAGTGAACAGCTTCTGATCAAAGCAGAACACAGTGCATTTTAATCAGTAATCAGATTTCACTTTGCATTACTACAATAGATCACAAGTCCGTTTTATTCATAATAGGCCCAGCTGCATTTGCTGCTTTAGCAGTCAGTTATGACTGTTAAATTGTTGGGAAGTATGATCTCAATCAGGATGGTGTAGCAAGTTTCAATATTGCTCAGGCCAAGCCATTTTGTATCACACCCCAGAAGCACATGGCACCGCAGTCACTACAGTTTAGTTACGGCTTCCCTGATGAATTCGCAGCTGCAGCACAGACCAGGCATCAGAATGTCCACGTCTTCTAGATATCCAGGAGCCTGCTTTGGAAATAGCCAGGGTACAAACAGCCATGCAACAGCAGACTGATACCAACATTTCTGAGGTCTCAGGCAAACCCTTGGCAAGAACAGATCAAAGCACAACCCTCTGAAGTACTCCCAGGAATCTTGTCCATACCTGCGTCCAGTCAGGCCTTCAAGAAGAGTTCTGCTGAACAGAACTAGAGGATAGAGATTAGCTCCTCCTATGCTTAGTGCAGGAGCAGTTACCTCTTCAACTAAAAAGGCAGCTACTTCTACTCTGGTCACATTTTTATTTCAATGCCAGCCAGCAGTTCAGCAGAGAACTCTTCTTTGGACTGCCATATTGCATAGCCATAAGAGCAACAATGAATACATTAAAGCAAATAGCAAGAAGGCTCTGAATGGAAGTTCTCTGTTTTTTCTCCCTAAATATGAAAGGAGAAAAAAACAAGCTTATGTAGTTTACATGGAAAATGTTGGCTAGCACTATTTCATATGTACAGTTCTAAAGAATGGGTGGGCTTGTGCCAATTTTTAAGCTAAAAAGAAAACGTTAGCATTGTGTTTATGCCCTTCAAGAGTTAACTTCTGTGAAACACTGGACTTGAAGTACAAGTATAAATTCACAGATGAACATATCATGGTCAGCAAGGATATAAATGCCAGGTCTGCAACATTATCTAGTTTTTAGTTTAAGGGTGTAGCTTCCCCTGACTGCTTCCTTTCTTTTCTCTAAGAAGGCATTAAAAAAAAAAAGTGTTTGTTTAAGGAGGATTCAGTTCTCCTGAATGCACTTAAATCAAATACTTCTGAAATAACTTAAGCTAACATAGTATTTCTACATCCAGTATGATAAAATGTTGAGTCCCACTCCAGCTCTGTTTCATTAATGGCAAAGTGGCCTTTGCTACAAGAAATCTATTGCCCATTTTGACAAAATTGACACTTACTAATGAAGACATAGCTCCCTAAGCTTGACCAAGTACTGACACGAGTCAAGTATGGGGTTCTCTGCACTAATACAGCCAAAGGCATTACCGGTAATCATTCACCATAGAGCTGTCGTAGACTTAACAAGCACAACATTTAACAATTCTTTTAACACTGTTCTTTGTTCAGCAAAACACTTTGACCATCTTTCAGTTTTATTGGCCTGAACTGATTTTAAGCATAGGCTTTGTTAAAATAAATGGATTACTGGATGCCTATATCAGCTGAATCCTTGCCTTATCACCACTGACTTAAGATGTTTTAACATCACATGGATATGTAGGTTCAACTCCCTCTGTCAAAGCCAATATTAAAAAAACAAAACTAAATTAGTTATTCCTTTCTCTGCAAAAGCCCGAAGTCACCAACTGTTCTCTCAATACACCCATTTCTGATTATAAAAGGTGCCAAGAACAGCCAATGCTTTCAGGAAAAGCCATTCCATCACGCATCCAACTGGTGCAAGCTATTGCACCGCTCTGCTGCAACATGCAAAGATGCACAAAAGGTGCCGTCTCCATTTCTCCCCAGAATATCTACTAAAACATAACCTAGGAATTACAACAACTAGAAGCTGCAAGGTGCTCCAGCGTAACAAGCGAAGTCAATTACGTGCTTTAACCAACATGGAAAGAATTCATTCCAGAAGGAAGCTATATGGTGATTAGATGTTAGCTGTTCCGTGTCAGTGTTTACTTGTGCGTTTGCAGAGTGCAACCATATCCCAAAAGATACTTAAGTCTGGCTGAAAGTCTTCAGTGCAGCAACTTTATAATACCTTTGAACAAAGTTTTAATGGGAAGAGTCAATGTGGACATTTAAACTGCCTAGATGAGCTTACCTTTAACATACTGATCCCATTGTTTTCTGAAATCTAAATCCATGTAGACATCCACGCACAGTTTTGGTGGACAGTCAGCAAGACCACCGAAGATTTTATATTCATAAAGTCCTGATTGCTGTGGAAACACAGTAGGGAGAGGAAAAGTCACACAGGAAAGGGAAGTACTCTGCAGCAGGGAGAACAGCTGAAGGAAGTTAGGTGGGGCACATACTACAAATTTGCTCAAGAGCTGTGAAAGCAAGTGTTCAAAAAACAATGCAAGATTCAGTCTTTAACCTCCCAACTTTTTGATCTATGCATGAAAGTTTAAGTCCAGACAGGCTGACCTGCCCGGCACAAGGGCTGTTCCTTCCCTTACACCCATACCCTTTTACTTCATAAGCAGCTCCAAAGGGAGCATGTTTCTTCACACACACACACACACACACATACCCACCCCTTTACCCCTTTCCATCTCCAATGGTCAGTGTGGACTAAATCCTGCCCACACCAGAGCTTACCAGAAGCATTCAATTGCTGTGGCAAGGTCTCCAGACCCTATGTGATGTGTTTTAAGGACGTCAGCCATTTCCAGGAGGTTACCAAGTACTCCACGACCTGGAATAAGCTTTCCAGCAAGTCGGGTATGCTTATACTTCAGGCTGCGATACAAGAATGCTTTATAATGTTTGTGCTTATATACAATGCACTACTGTATCTGCCTTGAATATTTATCAGCTATTTTCTTTCTGAAAGCAGACACTGCACCAAAGGGGTGGGGTGCAGGATATCTCCTAGGTTAATGCTTTTAATGTTTCTCTCAACATATGGAAACTCCATCTGTGCCTATAGGGCAATGCTTGTTCTATTGTTAGTACTGGTTCAGGACTAAATTAAAACAATGAGAGTATTTTGAATATACAGTGTAGGAGTCAAATTCAAGCATTCCCAAGGAAAAGGAAGGAAGGATTATACAACATTCTGTAGTGAATGGTTGATCTTTCTTCTTCCCCTCCCCTTCACAAATCAACCCTAGAAGATGAAGATTTTATGTACCAGACAGTAATAACAGGACCAAGAAGCTTAAGCTACTCATCCTCACTGGGGCTTCACTGAAGCATCAATCTCTAGCTTCAAACCTGAACTGTTCAGCACATGTGCAGCCCCATGTGCTGAGGTCATCTTTGTAAAAGGCATCAACATTTTTATTTTCACAAGAAAAATGAATTTTGAAAATATCACACCTGAAATTGAGCTGGGACCCAACAGCTTGTCTTGCTATTGCCAGTTACCATGCCCATGCTGTAAATGGGAACTATTTACCACCAAGAAAAATCCCAGGTGTACGAAGGGACTTTTTTTTAAAAAAAAAAAAATTTAAAAAAATATTCCCTATCCTGTCTTGCCTTTCACACAGACCTGTACGTTTGCTTTACCTGCTATTTTTTCCTAACATGACCATACCCAAAATTATTTTTTTGGAATAAAAATACAAAATCTTTGTGCAAAGCACAGCACGAAGTCCAGGTTTATAATGAGTTGAGAGGTAACTGTGATCACAGAGCTAAAGAAAGAGGGTGTTTATATGGATTCCAAAGTCATTATTAAATCATAGATCTGCAGCAGAATGGAAACATTCACTGTGTTAATCACAAGTCAGTTCTGCAGGCCTGAACTTCTGAATTTCTTAAGAAAAGTAATTCCCCCCCAAAAGGGGGGAATTTCATTCCAACCCTTTCTGAACTACCTCCTGGTTTTAGCGGGAGAAAGGTGGAAAATCAGTTTGGAGGGATTTTGGAGAGAGGGAGAAGGAAGGGAAGCGGGAGTCTGCAGATCAGGAGGACGCTCTAACACGGGGAGTGCTCGGGGCCAGGCCCCTCCTCCGCCACACGCGGCCCTCCGAGGGGGC